TGCGTAAATATAAACAGTCACATGCGTATAAAAGGATTGCTTATTCAGATTGTGAGGTGCTTATTTTCGGAACTATGGTATAATTTACGCACTCTATCCTTAACCAGCAAAAAAATGCGCCCACATACCGTATAGTTTCGAAATAAGCACCCTTATAGTTAAAGGGATGCTTATTTTCGGAACTATACGAAGTACGTACGTATTGTTCACTAACTTTTATTGAAGTCATAATGACAAAGCCTTCAAAAAAATTAATATCAAATTTACACAAACATTTTGTTCAAATCTATCTATCATCACAATTACTGCTGTTGTGGAGACTATGATAATACGCATAATTTCTGTGCGGATATATAAGCAGCAGCTAGCTTTCAGTGTGTGTTCAATTACTTTCGATTCCTTTATTCATATTAAGTAGTTCTTTATAGTCTGGAATACATTGTTATCTGATACATTATTCGGTATAGTTGTGAACCACTGATCCCTATATCGATTAGGAATATTCGTAAAACGATTGTCAATTGCGCTATAGTTATGCCTCTACCCTAAATCGGCGGAATCCCAACGAAGCGTGGTGCTATTCTTATACCATGCCCAACATCCAGATGGATGGAGACAGCAATCTCAACCTCAGCAACCACACACCTGACAGTTACAGACTAGACTCTCTAACGTGCAATCTTCCACTTCACCTGTCACTGAACTATATATTGTACGGGAGTATATATACAACGCTTTCCCCAACACTTTTTTCGTACCTCCCGTTCTCCAAGCTCAGCATCCCAATTCTCAAACAAGTCTCAAAGTTAAAATGTCTTTACACTCTGGGTTATAATAGTGATCAGCCAGTTAGTCTCGAATTTGAGACAGGAAATGTGGATAAGTTGAAGGATGTGGTCAAGCGTACATTAACAACTTGTAACGTGAATAAGGGTAGGGTAAGATTATTATTCGAAAACACGAAGGTACTGTTGACTCAGAACCAGACGTGATTGTAGACGAAAGCTTTGAAAACGAACGAAACAAATCAGGTCTCAAATTTCTCAGCATAATAATAAGGCTCAGCGACTGAAAGCATTGTACTTTGCGGGATTTTTGAAGACATTTTTGAAAAAACAAGTTAAATTAACGTATCGTTTAATAGTGCTGAAGACAAAATTCCGAACAAGGTGATTTTACGGTATGTATTACGGATTACGAGCTATTCTGCCATACATTCCCGTATGATTGGTATGCGCCTATATTAATACAGTCAAACCTCCATAAAAGAACATAGTTGCCCCCTATACTAGAGGCGTTCTCTTATAAATTTGTAAATTATTATACATGATTATATAACAATATAACACTTGTAAACGTTTGTATATTGACAGATTTCTTACGGGGAGGCGTCATTGACTGCAGCTCGTTTTTTGGTGTTAATAGAATTTTTAATTTGGCAACGTAGCTTGAATTCCGGTCTGGCTTCTGCTTATGCGTTTTCTAGTCAGATTAATATCCAAACAATTACAGTTGTCAGCCAATCAACATGCATTTATCCTTATATGCGTTCTACAAAATTACGATCTTGTCTTTCATAGATTGTTGTTATAAAATTTTTTTTCTACTAATGGATCTACGATAAAATATCTTTTATAGGAGATTGTTTCTTTATAGAGGGTTCTTTTATGGAGGTTCGACTGTACTTTTATTCAATTTCTTAATTTCATCAGAAACCCTGCTTCGTGAGCCATTTTAATTTGGACCTTTACCTATTGTCGAAACATAATTAATTCGTTCGCGTTCTACGCACTTTATGGTATTGTGTATCAGAACTAAAATATTGCTTGGCACATAACTGGTTTGTTAGAACGCATTATAAATCAACCTTCTAAAAGCGCATACCCGTTCAACTTTGATTTTTTTTTATTAATCAGCATAAAAAGTGAATCTATGGCGCTTGATTACGTGTATTAATAACTTTGATGTTCGTTTTTGCAGCGTGCCATATAGTTTGCTGAGAACGTTCTATCAACTTGGACTAGTAAGAAGATTGGTTAACTTGCTACTGCGGATAGTAAAAACAAGTATATAAGCAACCGTTGTCCAAGTGGAATTCAACCAAGTACTATATGGTATAACTCATTATACCATAGTACACAAAAAACGCTTGCTCAAACACTCCCTACTCTATTACTATTACATTTTACTATTACATTTAAACCTTGTTAAATTATTTGACCTTAGCAGAGAAACTTTATTACTACAAAGTCTGAAGTATATTAATATTGCCTGGTATTAACAAACGGTAGGCTTAGCCAAGTTTAATAAGGTTTATGACTTTTTTCCCCAGCAGCAAAACTAAACGAGTCTTCCGGTGGCTTGAGCAAGAGTTTATGACTTTGCTGCGAACAATTAATAAGTTTCTTCAATTCTAGGGCAGTATGGATGAAATAATTCCTACGGCGCGGCGCAGCCTCATAAACAATACTGCGCCTCAATTAATCGTATTCACTTCCCTGAAATATGTATGATTTGCATGTCATACATTCCGATCGACAGGTAAGATCTATTTTCCGTATAGTCCATCTCTTTGACGTTCACCTGAAGCAGTACGATTTAATTTAATACTGGGTTTAGATCTTTTTTGCGAGGGTTGACTTGTAGATCATTTCCGGTTCAAGCATGCATGTGTACGTACACAACATTCCAGTGGGCACAGATAAACTTGCCTCATTAAAGCAAAACCGTTATGAAGAATTTCTAAACACTAACCTCAAAAGGTAAGATATGGCCTAAACCGGTATAGCCTGAACCGGTATGGCCTTTCGACAAATTAAAATCAAGTTACTTGACCGTTATAGTTATAGTTAGGGTTAATAAACTCGTTTACCGTTACAGCCATTGTTTGACAGTAATCAATTGCATGACCATAATAATAATTGATTGTGATCACCTGACTTGAAATCTTTTGATGGGTTTGCACACCCGTTTTTTCTTTCTGCGGCGAACTTGTTGAAGCGAAGATATTGGTGATTATTCCTCTAACTGATATGTTTTGCCATACGTAGGCGCAGCAGCTAATGAACACATCTCCATTTACCAGTACAAACCGCAGTCTTGTTAAACACATAAAATAGACACATCCCTACAAGGCAGATGTTATTTTTCACAGACATGACAACGCAAAACGAGAAAGAGACGCGATATCTCTGTTCCATTTTCAACAGTCTTAATCATATAATACGGAGTCCAGAATTCTGTGAGGAATGTGCTAAATACAATTTGGTCGTATTTGACAACTTCCAGCAAGTTGACAGAACGCAACTACCTCAAGGTTTGACGAACAGACCTATAATATTGAAGGATAACTGGACGTTTACCATAGTAGCCAGTGGGTATGTGGCTCCATTACCGATATTACGACGGCCATCATATACAGAGAATACATGGACTGTGCCCATCAATAGTGTGTTGTTGCACGGCGTATTCAAGGACATGGGCTGGCCCAGTATACCGACAACAGAGGGTCTAGGAACGTTCTTACAATATATCGATTGGTAAGAAGTTTCTCTCTACATGGTCAATTTTGCTGGTTTTGACACCTTATTTATATCCATCATATCTACATCGGTGAATTCAGCTACTCTGAGTTTCCTGGCGTGGGAAAGCTACTCGTTGATCTGGATAATGTTGTCTACGTATCAGCTCAAAGCTGTATAGTACCTGCTTGTCCAAAGCAGAACAATCAGACGGAATTTCACTTTCAAGCCTTTCCTCACCCACGACTGCAAAGTGAGGCTATATTATCTATTGTCAGTACACACGAAGGCACCAGCATACAATTACTCGATGTCGAAGATGACATGCAACGGAGTCAAGGTGGTGGATTTTGTATTCTACGCAATCACAGACGGGAGGCAAGATCTTTTACAAGTCCGATCCGAAATCTAGAAAGCAGCAACTTGCTGGAAAGCTTTGTTACCTTAATCCAGATACCGTTGGTTTATGAGGGAAATCGCCCCAAACCGGCGACTATAGTACGTCCAGGAATATTCCCTGAATTGGCTAATAAAACAGGATATAGGAGAGATCCTCGGCTGCCAATTCACGTCACAATTCAATTTTATGGCTTGACCGTCGACGGACAAACAAGCTCAGAGCATCTGTCCATTCTTAGTAATTGGATGTACGCAGCACAACAAGCACGGGAGAGTTTTTGGGAGGAATGGGCGGGTTATTGGGGACGCAAAATGCAAGAGATACAAAACAATGGTTGGGAGAGGCTCCCCGCAAGTCAACCTTCTGATATGCGTTCCCTGCTGAAAAGGGATATGAGTTGGATGCCTACAAACCGATAAATTCAACAAAAAGACTATCCGTACATAGTAGTGATGTCTACGGTTTAAACTGTTAATATATTAATACTTGGATTTTCCGAGTAAACTTCAATTTGGTTACAACTGGGAGGAATACACATATTAAATAAAATCACATTCAATGTACAATTTTCTACAATGGCAAGGTGACACATTTTTATTTTGAATCGTCTTATATGTGTTTCGTTACTTGAACTCGCGAGTTGATTGCCCTGTTCCTGTTGTATAGAGATTTGCTTGATTCAAGACCAGCCCAACATATAACGTTCAATGGCTTAGTCATCGGATCATGGAGACCAAAGACAACCATTGCATTAAAAACGATTCAGATTTGTCTGACGCTCAAAAATTCTGATCAATTATATTATATGTGTTACTCATTATTATTATTGCTATTACATTTATAATTAGTGAATATAATTGTTGACAAATTATAGATAATTTGAAAAAGTATTTGGCACACGTGCCACATACGTAAGCAACATACTTGACCATAATGCGAATTATATATAAGCTTACAAGAAAGCACATTCAAGATATTGCGTGGGCATAGAAATCATATCGACATTATCGTAAGTATAATATAGTTATGCATATGACGTTACCGTAGCTCTATTCTAATTCTAACTGGCTTTATTCCCCTTATGTCCTGTCACTTCCCTGTTCAGTAACTTTAAGTTTTCGTTTAAAGGCGCTGTATACACGTGAGATATCGTATGAAGTTATCCATCCCGGTGGCCAGAAAGAGAGAAGCTATTGTCACAATAATATGAATTAATTACGTAATAGGATGTGGAAACAATAACATATACATGCACGCATATATGAATGATATGATTACCCGTTGATATAATCGCTTTCGCATAGTTTGTTCCGATAATCGCTCTGACTTCTCTTCTGCCTCACTATTGGTGTTAGAAAGGATGCACAAGATATTAAGATAAATCACTTTTTTTCATACAAAATTCACCAGATAATTCGACTACACGTACTTTAGTTCATTCTGCATTGCAGTCAAATCCATTTCGATTTTTATAACCTTCCACAAAAGAGATTTTGTTGCATCATCCCACTTGAACTTTTTGCTCAATTTTCCAAAACCGTCACTTCTATCATCGCTTCCCTCTCCAGCATCCACATCAATGTCATTTGCGTCATTATCAATTATGGCGTCAACTGACATTGCATTGTGTGTTGTGTTTCCATTCGGCGGCGTAGACGTTGCAGTCTTCGAAGGAGAATTGCCACAACCATCTGAATTAAAAGAATTCTCCGAACGAAGTTGCTCGTTATATCGTTTGATAAGATTAGGAATTGTTGTATCAATTGCTACTCTCAAGTCGGCTATTAGTTGTTCTTTCGTCTGCTCCAACTCTTGTATTTTCATTGGAAATAGAGTGCGTTTACACAGGCGCTATTTGTTGAAAGTCGGAAGTTGTTAGATTTATGTTAAAGTTAATAAACAAAGTTGTGCAGCCTATAATACAGATAAATGATGATACCGTGACAGTGAATTTATTATAAGGCAGTAAATTCGTCAGGGTTTTGAAAAAGTTCTCGTCAAACAATCCCATTCCGTACGCCTTTGCCGTTGCATCGAGTAGGGTTGGCTTTAAATTTACAGGAAATTTTGACTTTATCTCAAAACTCTCTGAAAGTATAAAAAAAGTCTGTAAGCTGGCATTTTTGCTGTACTCAACAGTACATACACCAACCTTTTGTAATCGCTTCTTTAAACAATTCAACAGCTGATTGAAGCTCTAGTGGGAGGGATTGCTGTTAGGAATTAACCAGAGATTCAAATAGGTAAGTGTGACCAATTGCTTGCTGGATGCAGATTGATTTGATCGTAATCTTACTAACCACCACATATGTCTTCTTTCTCTTCCCAGGTGTCTTCATAACATCAGTCTGAAACTTATTTTCAACGGGAGTCCTGGGTTCAGAATCATCCACATTTTCTGGTGGAGTAGATGGTTCATCAAAATCAATTATAGCCTCGCCCGTTTGGTTCTGTGAATTGCCTCCAGCCGCTGAAACGAATCTTGTTATCAAGCTCTGTGTTTTCTTTTCCGAATCAGTTGAAGGTTTATCTTTCTTTTGCTTACACGCGGAGGGCGCCGCGAGCTTGTGTTCAGAAGTAGTACTATCTGCTTTCTTGGTAACGCGCTTGCGGGGACGAGGCTCCTTAGACTCTTCAGGCGAAGTTGTACATTTAGCTCTGACTCTTCTCTTTGGCTTTCCCTCGCTATCTCTATACAATATGAAGAGCAATGCCAGTTTAATATAATTTTAACAATAAAAGGTACTGTGAAGGGGAAAATGCAAAGATTACGCGCGAGACGGTTAAATTATGTACTCACAGCATTTCTAAATCATTCTTTGTCAAGGGTCCCTTCCAAACAAAAAATCCATCTAGTTTTGGTCGCACTTTCCTAGCTTGGCGCTGAGAAGGTACCAGATCGCTGTCATCGATAAAGGGATCACTCATATCGTACATTTCGGTTCTAGGACGTTTTTGCGGCTTTTCTGACCCGGCTTTCGCTCGCTTCAAAGAATAATACAGTTGAAAATTCAATCACAGAACGTGTTTGCCTTCTCCATTATGCTTCAATGTTGCACTTACCTCATCTTTTTCCCTTCTTTCCGCGTTTTCCAACAACCTATTGAAAAATGCATCACTCTCGTGCGTTCCTGACGCCGAGGGTGATCCGAATGGTGAATCTGCCGGCAAAGGAAGAGAACGATCTGGGGTTTTGGAGCCAGGCGAAGGAGGAGGGGTAGCGTCCGATTCAGACACGGGTGTGTCTGAGTCTGACGGAAATTTCTTCATTGGTGTTGGTGGTTCCAAACCTTCCTCTCGAAGTAGTTCGGGAAAATAAACGACATTGTTTTCAGGCTGCAGAAAGGGCACATCTAGTCTAATTATCCGAGGATGCTTTTCAGGTTGTGCAGCAGATAAGAATCCGAGACGGGTGTCAAGATCAGAAAGATCTCGTTTTTTCTTTGAAGCTGACGAAGAAGAGTCGGTTTGTGTTTTTGTCATTGTCCGGCCAAGAAGACTTTATTAATTATCAATGAGAATGGTCTGTTGAATAACAAGCATGGAGGAGCAAAAGTGTTCGAGATACACGGGCCTGTTGGTGGGAGAATCAAAACTTGCATCAAGGTGACAAACACGATCTGTCTATTTACCGAGAATTCCCATGTAACACAATGACCGAGAAAAAGGATCGCCTGTCATAATAATTCGTAACTTTGTGCAATGTCGCGGAAGCGATTGCGAACAGATGACACCGATCAAACGAATCAGACACCACCTGAAGTAGTCAATGATAGTATGCCTTTACTTCCCAGACGTCTTGAATTGTCTATTTTTGGTGGGAGACCAGTGAACGATCTTGTAAAAGTAGTTAGCGATTTTCTGTACAAATATATAAATGAACCCAATATAGAGGTATGGTGTTAAACTACAGCGATGTTTAAAGAAATGGATCTCTTCTCTACTTTATGCTTATTATTCGACTTAATCATAAGATTGAAGCTAAGTTAGGTGTTCTCGTAGATAAGAACACCAAAAATCGATTATTCTTACCCATAGCTTGTGAGGCCGGTTAGTATTCGTTCTCTGCGATTCAAAACTTTTTCGTTCGTTCTTATTGATTGATGAGATGCTTAAATTTACTAGTTTTATTTCAGTCATTGACCCAAATGATAGTCTTAATTCGCGGCTCACTTTTTCGAGCGATATGACACTGGTACTCTATGAACTGTTGCAGTAGTTTTCATCAAATGATGAACGGCCAAGAAGAGTTATAGACTACATTGGTGTTATGTGAATTATTTAGGAGCAACACAAGAGTTTTAACGAAATACTGAATAAGAGATTTTCAGAAACAAACGCTAGAAACTATCAGGTTGAGTAAAAACGTCCAATTCTGGCGTTATAGAGCTATTGATTCTTATGGTATCGATTTTTGTATTTATAAGGGAGCTAGGATGACATACATCCATACAAAAGATACGGACAGGTTCTATAACATAGAAAGAGGTGGACGAGTACGGGTTACTACGCGTGAAGGGCAGGTAGATGTATTAAATTTAGTGTCCATAGTAGTAGTTGGTTATGGCTATTGTTGACTCTATACTATAATCGCAAATATTTATTAGGTTATAGAAAATGGTGTAGTCGAAAAGAGTCGCTTGGCTAATCTTAACATTTTCTCGCCAAGAACACGTCTTGATTATAGAATAACAGTGAATATCGAGACGCCAAGTGGGTATCATAACGTATAAAAGAACAAGTTTGTCAAGAAATGCTAACTCTATCGTTTGAAGGAGAATTGCCAACTGGACGGCATCACTACGAGCGTATCAAAGATCGGATGAGCTATACTCACCAAATATTCAAATTTGACTTGACGCAAGTGAAAATTCCAGAGACTACGAATATGGTCAGTATAACGAGATTATGGCCGAGGATGATTCAAGATTTAACTTTTGGTGAAACTTTCCATTGTATATGTAGAGTGGGCGGGATCAAAGGTCAAATAAGGAGTTGACTCACGAGTTGGAGATAGAGTTTCTCGATCCACAAGTACTATTGACAGAGAGACAGAATTTTGAGAAAAAGCGGCCTGACAGGTTCATAGAGATTGTCGAAGTATTCGTGAATAACATTCAGCAATTGGTACAGTATGCGGGATAAGTGCTCATAATAAACCACTTTTACTATGCAATAGATGAAACATTTCGTATTAAGAGGGAGCAATGACTTTGTAATGGTGTATTCATCCTTGGCGAGATTTTTATTATTAGGGTTATCACAAGATTAGCGTAAATATCAGGATAGTAATTTGGTTCTGTACAGTGACGAGTACACTCACGATAGACATGATGTATAACTAAGGTAGCCATATTAATTTTGCTTGAATCATTAAACACAATTAATTACAAATAATCAACTTTGTCTATCCGTTCTCATGTGTCAGTACGAATCCATCCAGCACTCTGTCCTTCGGGAGTCTTATCAAACAGTTCCAAAGTCAAGGCACTTAAAAAGCATGGAATGGATCCACGCTCAATCACCCAAAACTTTCTCAAGTGCTCTAGACTTCTTATGTAATCTTCATTGCCCCCAATCAGTTGCATAGTACCATGATTATCTTCGTCAGACGTAAAGATGAAGGAATGTTCCTTGTTCTCGGAATACGTCGAAGTTAACCGAACACTTCCATTCTCAAGAAAGTCAAACCTGTAGCCAAGAAGACTATAAACAGCTTGCCGATATTCATTAGCTTTCGCTTTCCATACCTATACGCCAATGTCAAATAGATGAGTCGCCATGGACAACAAAATTCTCACACAATATAATTTTGTCTAAACTACCTCCTTCAATCTCGAAATCATCTTTTCTTTCTCTGCAATTTCTCCCTGCAAACGCGTTTCTAGATTCTTATAACTCTGAGTTGGTATAACATCAGCTTCGTCCACGTTTCGATCGCCACCCGCGCTCGTGATTTCCGTTTGTAGCTTTTGTAGAGTTTCAAGTAATTTCTTATTTTCATTTGTTAAAGCAGCAAGCGTGCTCTCGCGAATAGCTTGTTCCCTTGATTCTGGGTTGTCCTTTAACTCCAAAACCTTATTAAAGCCGTATTAGTATATTTATGGCATGGATTTTTTCGTTCGAATAGTATAATGCATACCCTCGTTGTCTCCTTGTTAAATTGTCCGCTCCCTATAGCCCTTTCTAGGTCAGAAATTTGTTTGTAAAGCTGCATAGTCTCTTTTCTCAACGCCATATTTTCAGCAGTAACCCTATCAAGGCCTACAACAATATGCAACCTTAATTAGAATCATGATTAATAATACAGGCAGTGATCCCCTCCATCTCCATACTTTTGTCCAATTCTTCGTTTTTCCGAGTAACTTCATGTTCAGTAGTTTGTATTTGAATAATAGAACGTTCGAGAATTCGAAGCTGTTCTTTAAGTCCTCCTGTCTCTCGTTCAAGAAGCACATTGTTCGCTTTAAATTGCTCGATTACTTTATGGATTTTTGCACAAGTAAGCAAGAAATGATCACAAAAAAGAAAAAAAAACCTTTTAACATAATATACTATATATATACTTGCCACTTTCCAACTCATTGTTACGATTCAGTAATATTTCCACTTGCAATTTTAACGCCTCATTCGGGCTGCCATCAACTGCTTCAACCGCATCTGATTGCTGGGAATTTGTAGTATTCGACAGAGCTTCATCTAGCGTTTTCTGATATTCTACGATCATTTCCTCTAATTTTTGAATTCGCTCTGACTGCTTCGTGTCGTAAGATTCGTTGATTTTCTTCTGTTCTTCATCAGTGCTCGCCTAATATTTCAAGTATTATACGTCAATTGAAAATCCTTGACGGGGCATGTTATGCACTTGTCGATTGATCATTCATAATATATGATTACCATAAAATCTCTATATGTCTCTATATTTTTCTCCAGTAAAGCTTTTCGTCTTTCCCATGATTTAACTGCCACTTGATATTTTTGTTCCAAATTATCATATTTGACTGATAGATTCAGAATCTATAGGAGAAAAAAAAAAGATAAAAAATAAGAACACTTCTTGAATCAAAATTTCACGTTCAAATATTATGCGATATCTACTTGAGATTCCTTATCCGAAATGATAGCATCTTTGTTCTTTAAATGACCATTTAAATTGTTTATCCTTTCTTTTAATGCATCTGTTGCAATACGACGTGCAGCGACTTCTTTACAAAGCGCAGACGGTGTGACCGATTTGTCTTCAGTTTTCTGGTCAAAATACTGCGCCCACTCGAGTCTCTCCTTTTTTAGAATTGCATTTTCCGTTTCCAAGTCGGCAATGCCCCTATACAAAGGTTTCATCTTGTACAATTCTGCTCGCATTGAATCGCGATCTTCTTTTAGCACTTGTAGACTTGGAGATGCCATCCTGAGCATTTTTACCTCGTCACTAAGATTCTGATTTCCTTGCTCCAATAATCTAAGACGAGCACTTTGCTCTGTATTGTTGCAAATATGAGTAAGGGGATGTCATACATAAATGAAGTTTGAGCATAAATGAGAAAATGTGAAACCTTTTATTCTTGTTTTGTACACGTCAACATTGTCAAGCTCGAAGGAGTTGACTTTGTAGTTGGCTAGTTTCTGTTCAGCAGCTGTCAAACGTTGCTGAGTATCGGACAACAAAGCTTGTCGTGAGGATAAAAGTTTCTTCAGCTCTTCAATCTAAATGAATTGAAATTATTAACAGTAAGCTCAAAGACTTCAACAGTAACATTAACGGCGTAATTTACCTCATCGTTTGCAGCGGCAAGCATCGTCTCGGACCTGGATGCCTTTGACGAAAGCTTCTGCATTTCCAATGGATATTCGGTCTCTTGTTTATTATAAATAACTTCAAGTCGCAACAGTTTAGTGTTCGTTTCATGAAGCTGTTGTCTCAAGTCCTGGTTCTCTATGTTTGTTTTTTCCTATATAAAAAAGGGTTTATAGTCGACATGGAATAATCGAACAAGTCGTACGAATATTCAGGGGCATCAACACGCATACTAGATGCCATACTTACAATAATTTCTTCCATCTTTGCCCGAGAAGTATTGTTTCTCTCTTCAACTTCCTCTTCTATTGATTTATACGATTCCAATTCCTTCTCTAATCTCTATAATGAACGACATAATCAAGGTTCCCCAGATACGCTTATTCAGTGAATTTTTCGTATGCACATTACTCCCAACGACCCCTCCTGCTTTTATAAACACGTACAGATTTTTCTGCATGTAACTCTTCGTATTTAATCATCATGTCAGCCTTTTGCCCATTTAATCTTGAGATTTTTCTCTCGTAATCAGATTGCTTTAATCTCAGTTCTCTTTCCATCATTTTGGCGCTGACACGAACTTCTTTGAGTTGAGCAAGCAGTTTCTTGACCTCTTCGGATTGTTCTTTGGCCGAAGGTGGAGCATCAGAGACTAAATCACTAGGGATACGAAACATTGAACCTATTTGTTTAGAGAATAAAAGTGTAAGCATTCCTTAATACAAAATTCGGAATAAAAATGCAGTCAGTTTGATACATACTGAAAGGAGAATCTGATGGAGAGTAGTCACTAGGGGCACCGAATGGGGTCCGCACCGGAATAGTAGACGTAACGCGATCTCCAAATATTGGTGCTGTATGAGACTCATACCTAGATTTCTAATAAAAAAACGCGAGAACATTGTATCAAAGAAGACTTGGATAAAATTTGTTTCGGGCAAAGAGCTGAATTTGTGTTCATCGCATACGCGTGCGTAGTTAATCCTGCTCGTGATAATTGATCGCTCGCTCCACCAACCTTCCTTGCGCTCTGTAATCCACCAGCCACAGAGGTTCTTGTTCTCTTTATAGAACTAAGAGGTGACATAATGTTTCTAGTGCCTCTTTTTATACTACTTTCTGGAGAATGTAAAACCGGATTGCCATAGTTCTTTCCAGTCGCAGAGAATAGGGGAAAGCTTGTCGAGCTTACGCTAGTGGCACGAGACTGGCTGTTGAAAAGTGAAGGGATCGTGTTGGCCGAATTCGAAGGTCGAAGGAATGGATTGTCGTCAGCTGTCGACTGATCTGAAAACTCCATTTTTTAATTAAGGTTAACAGTAATAGTAGTAGTAATAGTAGTAGAATATTGTTGATATTGTTTCTTTTGCCGATCACATGACATGTGTCCGATTATTATCATGTGATTTTTGCTTTCCAGAAAAACTAGTCACCGGACAGAAGTATCATATTAATATGAAAAATCTTTTTCTTCAAAAAGCTTTATTGTACGTAATTACTATGTACCGATTTGAAGCTAATTGATTGTATTTTTTGAAAATAATAATGATATATAGTCCCATTATCGTTTTAAAGGTGCAGTTCAATGAAGTGGCGGTATCTATAGATTTTTATATGTGTAACATAGATACTTCGAACGGGACTAAATATATCATCATTTTCTGGTACAAAAACCGTACATAAAGCTCTTTAAAGAAAAAGAGATCGTCAAGCATGTCGTTAGGGTTGTTAATACAAGTCAACCTCGATAAGTCGGTTTCTCGATAATTCGGCCAAAAAATATTCGTAAGTCGGCCAATCTATATAATTTATCGATAAGACCTAAGTCGGTCAATACCTCAAAACTGGTCATAATTGTATATACCTCGATAAATAAGAGACTTACAAAATCAAATAAAGAAGAAACAAATTAATTCAATGAAACAAACTACTCTAGATAGTTTTTTATTATATTCGGTTAGGTCCTCTCGATAAGTCGGCCAAAAAAGCCCAGCCCACTTGGGCCGACTTATCGAGGTTGACTGTTTGATTCAATTCTCTCATCTACTTGAATGGATTCATTGCTCGAAACACGCAGAGTAAAACTTTTAATTTAATCCGCGACGTTAAAACCAGGGCTCTAGTTAAAACGCGGGACATAACATTTTTTCATTGTAAACATGGTTCCTTCCGTTTCACGGGCCAGGAATTTCACATAATCCCGTGAAATTACGAATTTTATTACTTAATTAAAATAAAGGAGACTGAAAGTTGAAACGCCAAGAATTTTCTTTTTCGAATTGCAGACTTGCACTCTCGCCCGCATACCCAAATACACCCCAAATATCTCGTGCACAATAATAAAGTCTTTAACTTTATTGGCTAGTCATATTTATTGATATTGTTACTCCACCTCTCCTCTATGCATCATGACGCTTTAGCGTGCTTATACTCTGCTTAAAAATAAAGTTTTAACACGATTGAAACCTGTAATTTTTAAAAGGCTTTTTTGTAATAATTTTAAAAATTAAAACAAATTATTGTTACTACTCGTCGACCGATTAGTAAAAACATATTACTAAAGCGCAAGTATAAGTTCAATTTTACTATCGCAACGATGTAATAACGGTAGCAATAGGTATACAATACTGTATACAAAACAAAGATAAATGCATTAGCGAAATAATTTTTAATTACACATCGTATTGCATACATATCGCGTGCATTCTTCCTGCTTGCATAAGCAATTTATTCAATTTTTCGTCTTAAGGCTATATTCCTATACATCTTCAGCCAACAAGAAATTCTTCTTCTTTTGCAAGTAAATTCATAGTGACTATCCCTTCTTTAGGTCACCATTACGTCCGAACAGATAAAGTCTGATTGTCTTCCTAAGTTGCGCCCACTTTAATGTAGTAAATAGGTCCAACTCCCCCATTCTATTGATATAATTAGAATAGCCTATGGTGTGTAGTACAAACCATATATACCAAATGAATAACGTTCTAAAGAGATATATATAAGAGTCGGGGACTTGTAAAGATGATAGGACTTACATACATTCTACATATTGTACTACTCATTCTTCCTCGCCTTTTACAGAATACAGAAAATTTCATTACGCCAATAAAACCACTGGGCCGATAATTTTGTGTCAAATTGGTTGCAACTAAAAACTTACCACTTGCATCGTCTTGTTCTCGTATCTTGTGAGCAATCATTTGGCCAAATAGAATCTTTTAGAGTCACATATTTGCTTACAGGTTGCTATCCTCATTACCTGTCTTTCCCTGTCTTTCCCTGTCTTTCCCTACCCTTCTTCATTAATCTACACTCGTACCTATAAATACTTTCATTAAAAGAACACATACCCTAATACCCTTTCCCTTGTGCATAAACATAGAACATGCCTCCAACATTACAGCATATACACCAGCTGCGTGATGAAGGCCTCGCCTCCATATCGCTGAGGCCAGTTGGTTTCTACCCCCACGAGCAAACTATTTCGGCAAAGAATCCCGAGCTTTCAAATGATACGCTACCGAATGACCGCTGCTTTGAAAACAGCATGTCTACCACTGTCAATGGCTTCCTAAACATGGCAAATTCGCATAACAACAGACTGGATTCACAGGAAGACTCTTATGTACTCGTAACAGGCGGTGCTGGTTACATCGGCAGTCATACCGTTCTCGAACTATTAAAGGACGGTTATAAAGTGGTAGTTGTAGATAATTTCGTCAACTCGTGTGAAGGTATGTACCTGAGTTAACGGTCAACCGGCGCCTCCATGAATTAGCTTCATATTCCCTACATCCCGTCCTTCTCTCTCCTCATTGAGCGTTGATAAGTCCAGCAATTAATAATCTTCCGTCTCCTTGTAGAGTCGTTAGTTCGCATTCAGAAACTGGCCAAGCAACCTTTGAAGTTCCATCATGCTAACGTCCTCGACGAGCAGACACTGACAGCCGTTTTCGAAAAATATAAAATTTGGGCTGTTTTGCACTTTGCTGCTCTAAAGGCTGTTGGTGAATCGACAAAAATTCCGCTAGACTATTATTGGAATAACGTGACAGGTTCCCTGAATCTTCTCCGTGTGATGGAAAAGTTCAGAGTTCACAATATAGTGTTTTCTAGTAGTGCTACTGTATACGGTGATCCAGAAGAGAGTCCAGTAAATGAGCAGGGCAATCTTGGTCCGGTCACCAATCCTTATGGGAAAACGAAACTTTTTATTGAGGAAGTTTTGCGAGACATGTGTAAGGCTAACAAAAAATGGAATTCAGTCATATTGAGGTAGTCCTGTGAATATTTTCAAGTGAATTTACAGCGATAAAAGAAGTTCCCATTCGCTTATTCGTTCGCCGTTGTTGCTGTTTCAGATATTTCAACCCTACAGGTGCTCATCCATCTGGTATAATTGGTGAGAACCCAAAAGGAATTCCAAATAATCTTATGCCATACGTTAGTCAAGTCGTGCAAGGGCGGCTGCCGTATGTAAACATTTATGGTGGCGATTATGACACGGTTGACGGCACAGGTACGAACAGCATAGTGATGCTTTACGGCTTTACGCTCTCCTCATCTATTAGTGACACTCATGTTTTTTTACTATTAACCAGGAGTCCGGGACTATATTCACGTTTGCGATTTGGCAACAGGACACGTTGCTGCTTTGCGCAAACTGCACAGTGATCCTGGGTGTGTTGCTTATAATCTTGGCACGGGTGTCGGGTATTCTGTCTTGCAAATAATCGGAGCAATGTCACGAGCATGTGGCAAAGAGATTCCATACAAAATTACTGATAGACGTCCCGGTGATGTGGGAATAGTCACGGCGGATGCAAGCCTTGCTAATGCCGAGCTGGGATGGTATCCGAAATACAATCTTGACCAAATGTGCCAAGATTTAAATCGATGGACTAGTACCAATCCGTCTGGTTACCCAACACCAGCATCCGAGACAAAAAGAATTCTTCAAGAAATGTCTTCGTAGTTATTCTCCGTGTAGCCAGGCTAGCGTTCATTGAGAAAGCAAATTTTATGGACGTGAGCACTCGCATAATTATTCTTTTTCCAAAAGTGTTTACCTTGAATGGCAGATGTTTTCGGCCTGAGAGCATGTTAGACACTTGAAATGGAAGCCGCAGGGCATTCTTTAGAATTTAGATTGAATTCTTTTTCTCATGTTGTTTTTCTAAAATACTTTTGTACATTTATTCGGTGCACGTTCATATTTCACTCATATTTGGTTGTTTTTTTTTTCACTAATACCTAATTACATACCATAGAAGAGCCTGTATTTATAGACTAGCTAAGTTGTGAGAATTTCGAGCTGTGGTCGATAAGATCAATCGTGTCAAAATTTTATACAAGTGATCATCTGTTCACAAGCACTAATGAATCAAGTCGACTTAATAAACAAATCCAACAATGATTTAGTTTTTGTACTGTCGACATTCTGAATTTCTTTCGGTGGATGCTTTAGATTTCTTAACGACTATTCACTCTATGAAAAGTTAGTTTGGAAGTTAAATGCTAATCGCTTCATACTTACATAAACTTTATTTGTCATTGTTAAGCTGTAAGTTCTTGCTTCGGGTATGTTTATGATACACAGTGCTGGACTTGCGCATTGCCATAAAATTAAATATCCCGGTATTAATTCTATTCTCTGCTTGAATTCTTTAATGGGATAACGAAGTTTTCTGCTTTCTGAAATTTCGTTATCAATAGCAGGTCGGCTTCATTCGGTTTGATAGCAAAGCTCGTGTGTGTGCAGACTTAATCTTGGCATGACAATAAACTCGATCATAAATGGCATCACTTTGCCACGTTCTTTCCTTGTATGGTGATCAATCAGTTCTACCAGTATTAAAATAGAAGTACGAGCGTCAATTGTACCACTGATTATCTTGGCAAAAGGGAAATGTCGGAAAAATGCGTCTGATATTCAAGTACCATTTTTGGCTTGGTAAATTCCGATCATGTCGATCATGTCAATAAATAAGGTGGCAAAGACTTTTACATAAATAGTGGCCTATCAAAAGTTGAAAATCTCTACCGTCAGTGTTTAATTTTGGTATCGTTCGAAGCTAATTGAATGTATTTTTAGAAAAGAACATTGTTTTAAAGTTCGACGAAGTGAGCGTATCTATTCTAAATATATGAAGGTACAAAACCATATGTGTAACATAGATATGCGGAACTAAATATATCGCTTCAAACACTATGTATTACATAGTAAATATTGAGGTTTATGGGAGAAAGTGTATGAAGTGTAATCTGTCCAGATAGTCAAGAGAGGCAGACATAAAAAGCCAAGCTGTGAAGTGGGATTTTTTTGAGTGAAGATGAGTGAAGGGGTTGAGTTATGATGAAAATAATTGCATATGTGAATAGTACGAGACCATATAAGCTCTGCATGAGGACAAGAATGAAAGAGATGTTTAATAGTGAGTGGAGATGAGGATGAAGGGCACCAAAGGAAGAAGAAGAAATGCGAGATATAACACGACCAATAGGGGGATTTTGGCGTGAGATTTTCCCGAGGAGAACAGAGACTTTTTTAGGGCATTGATAGTAATGGGGGAGAATATGAGGTTAATTGGAGGGGAAGGAGATGACAAGTGAACTTTCTTTTTTGAAATCAAACAAAAACCGTACATTCGACGATAATTATGCATTGCATTATTGTGAGTTATGATGTCAAATGCTATTGGAAGACTCAAACGAGGAAAAAGATGCGAGCATGTGTCCTTATTCAATAGCATTCATGTATTGTCCCAACGGTTTAATGGTCAAGGGCACTACAAACTTTTATGGATTATTCGCGAAGAAACGCGTCAGGAACAATCTCAAATGCTCTTGCTTGAATAATGTCAGAATACCATAGCACCAAGAATACTTCGAATCCGCTCAACTTCTTGCGGGTCGCCAAGCAAATGAAGCAAATTTAGTTAATTTATTTATCTAGTTCTAATGGAGTGTCCCAACCCAAACGAGCTCTAGTCACAACGCTTGCAAACTCTTATCGATTATATCAACGGCGTTACGCCAACCGCCTAACAATAAATTCATCATATTAATATGTGCCAGCCCCATTAAAGAGTACAATATAATTGGACAATCGAAAAAACTTCGAGTTACGTAGATTGAACTGATGTCGGAGTGGCGCCCCCCCGGCCGAATTTTTTCTGTATCTTTTTAGGTTCACTACATAAATCTTCGAATATAACCACCGTCCCTCTTTGGCATTCTGTCAGGCTTCATCGAACGGAACGTAACATTTTCGCGATATGGCTTTAGACTATTTGCAGTGATTTAGTAACAATCCCTCAAGTGTCGATATTTAGGTTCCTTAAGATGATGTCCAATAAAAACCAGATCATCGTTTTTTAATAACGTGATTCTATTTTGCTTGTTGGAGCATAGCTGCAATGTCAACTTTGAGCCCCCATTGCTGAGTCACCTTTTAGACCTAGGCTTGGCAATCTCTTTATTAACTTCGTCAGTGTCGTGCCGACTACTGCGGGAGAGCAGAAAGTAATCGACACTTGGGATTTAACTAGTCTCGACGGAGCGCGGCGCCTTCTATTCAAGTTAAATATCTAATTTCACAGTTAGTGACCTTGTAATCGCAAGGCTTTTCACTTACGGGCTTTTTTACC